CTCCACGTAACGGGGTCAGAAATCTTCTTTTTTGAAGGGAAGGTGCTAATGATCGTCTTTCTCTTGTGTTTAGTTTCAGACAAGATGAAAATTTGACGTAAGGAACTATGATGAAGGAAGCTTATGAAACTGTTTCTCCCTTTTCCAAAACATATCGACTTAGTAATTGCCAATAAATCAATTGAAGGGGATATGTTCATATGTAGATAACGGTAAATGTGTAAACTATTTATTACGAATTCGTTAGAAAAGCATAAATTCGGACGTCATCTAAATGACATGACAATAACATTAAGTTGGCCCTATGCTTAGAGCCGGGATAGCTCAATCGGTAGAAATATCGGTTACGGGCTGGACGGCCGAGGAATTGGGGTTCAATTCCCGACACGGGAAAGAAAGTTTTATGTACTCCACGGCGCGCAGACCAGCTCCGAGGCTCGCCCAGGCTTCTATCCATTGGGTACAGGGGGGGGGGGGGCCCCGGGGGGCAACGAGCCGGGGGGGGGAGNCTGTGTGGGGGAAGGGGGGGGGGGGGTGTCCCTGCGTGTCAAGCAGCCGGGGCGTGAAGCTGACACATCACTTCTATCTAGTGCAGAATTAAAGAATACATGGATCTATTTATTAACTCCCCCATACACCTTCATGGCGTAGTGCTGAATTAAATGATCACAGGGGAAACTTTAAATTTATACCCATGCCTAAGCACCACACCACAAATATGTATTGGGGAGTGGAGGTTAGAGTTCATGAATTCTTAGCTTCGGTAGGAGATGAGGATGAGTGGTTATATTCACGCTTCGGCCTACTTATTTTTAATGAAAGGGTCTCCAGCGCCCAATGGTTAAGAAGCTGGGTGGGCTGTATTGAGAATCGAACCCCAGTCGTTCACTCTGCTGACTGAGCTACCTAAAGCTGCGGTGTGTTAATTACATGACTAGAGAGCTGGCCCTGGAAATCTCAATATTAGGTGATGATGATGATGATGATAAATGTGACAACAACAACAATAGAAGTAAACTTGTCTTTACTAATATTGCTTGTTCATTATCCCTGGGGTTAGTTAATTAAGTACCACGTCACGAAGACGTCCGTGGGAATGGAGGTATAGCTCCCCCCTTCTTCATATCGACACCAGATGGAGGTGAGCTGCCATGCAGCCTCCGTGGAGTCGAATGGTTGGATGAAACCGAATGATGAACCGAGATGGATGCAAATGGAAGAGGTCGTGGCGTCATTTAATGTATTATGACGGAATTTGCTGAAGGTACTGAGGAAAACACGATAAACCTTTGGCCGAATAGACGCTGTCCTGGTCGAAATTCGAACCGGACACTTTCCGAATATAAACCACAAGCAGTAACGCTTGAGCTAACTTGTTTGATTGATTTTTGGGCCCATAACAGAAATAATTTAACGATGTGACGGATACATATGAACTGTATCTGTTCAGTATCTTTACGTCTCGATGCAGCAAATAGGCTGCAGATGCCAGTCCCAGATATCCAGAGGATATTACTCAGTGACCTGCATGTGTGTGGCATGTCACTGCAATTGATGAAATCAGCTAACCCGTCTGCGGTCCGTATTGATTCTCCATGTGCGGTAGGTCACCTTCATTTGTTTCTGTTTCTATCTAATTTTCCTTATTATGAGTTCTTTTTATCCGCACCATGCAAACATAGCATGAAGGGGAGATCATGTATCAGTTCACATGTTTCAATTAAAGAACTTCTGGACGGAATTCGATGAAATTTAGTACTAACATCATGTCATGGGAATCGATTCAATGTCGGTAATTTGTAATTACCCGCAGTCTTCGCCAATGTGACGGAAGTACGAAGTAATGAGGTGGGAACGGTGGTGCTATTTTCGAAATACAGCAAAACTAGTATCTAATAGTAAACAGCAATAACCATATGAGCCAGTACGACCTTTAAAACTCCTCAGAAAGCACATTGACCACAACAACATTAGCAACCAACTCGGAACTTAATAATATTGTGTCCAAAAGTGTTCATTAAACATGTCCGGAACGCCTGGGAGAATTCAAAATTCCTACACAGAACTGATTTGGGAACTGTGTATTTTAGCACAGATTATAAATTTAAATTCTTGTATTTTAATGGAACTAGTGGAACCAGTCCATTGAAAAGTGAACTGTACACTTCTTACAAAATTTTATATTTATTTCAGTGCCTACCCTCTCTCCCATATTTCTGTCTGTGACCTGAATTTGGTAACTTGATTGTCTTGCTCTGAAGGGTTTCGACCATGCAAAAGTCAGGTGGGAGGCCACGCGGTAGCTTAGTTGGTTCAGGCACTATGCTAAAAGCCGGAAGTTGGCGGGTTCGATTCCCGATAAAGTCATTGGATTTTTTCAACTGACCTAGTCCTTCCAGCCGAAATGTGGCCCTGGGGTCTACTCAGCCTCTAATAGGAATGACTGCCAGGAATCTTCCTGGGGATAAAGGGCGGCCGGAGCGTAAGGCTGACGACGACACCACCATCTTTGGTGAGCCGACTGTCCCGAAAATGTGGGAGCCCCGACGTCTCACAACCCTGTGGGTCTCCGCGGCCTGTTACAAGGATAGATTACGTAGAAAGAAAGCAGAACTGTGGATAGATGTGAGGTTGTCGCAGCGATAAGTCTGAAGGCTGGTGTCTCCCGACATGTGATGTGTATTTTGGCCGCAAATTGGCCCACCAGCGCCTCTGAGGAACCTGCTGCGTTCAGACTGCATGGTATCACGCCCTACATTATCTTAATCTTAATATCCTTCGTCATAAGAATCTCAGATCTCGAAACTGCTCTTAGCGGTTGAGCCACGCCACATTCAATAGCCAGTTTCTCACCTCGGGATCACGGATTCTGTCCCAGGGCAGTCCATTTTTTATATGTGTTGGACGAAGTGGAACTGGGACAGTTTTCTCCGAGTACTTCGGTTTCCATATATCAAATATCACTTACATTCTTTCGTCCGGGGCTGGTACAGTGGGTCCAGTTGTGGCCTCAGTACCAAATAATTCTGTTTAATGTCACTTCAAGAATAATAAACTGTGCCCTAAATACTTTTTCGTTTCGAAGTGTATAATATTCTGAAATGTGACACCTTATATTCTGGTAGAATTTTACCGTTGTTTCGAAACCTACCTGCTTCTTGCTGGTTGCTACCTTGACTTAGTCTTCGACCCTGAAAATGGAGTTAGAAAGTTCCTCCGAAACGTCGGAGAATTTCTACCACACTACACGGCGTTACGTCCCAGAAAATAATGCTCTTCATAATCACCGGCGTAAGAACCTCAAATCCAACACAACCATTCTGGTTGCCCCTTGGATCAGGCCACCAATTTGCCGTGTTCGTAAAATGTAGTGCGGGTAGTCGATCGAGATTAAAGCAGGGGATTTGGTAGACTGTGACCTCGCGGGAGATAATGTCGCGTGGCCACGTTAGATGCCGTGTGCTAGGAAGCCGAACAAATAACAACTGTAAATATTGTCAGTGGAAACTTTATACAGTAAAATGAAGCTCATTAGTTTGAATAGGGCAGATAGGAGCTTTGTAATGACGTACTGTGGACTTGTGGGCGAAATGTCGCATCGTAGCATCAGCGTTTTGTGATTCTGGTTTTACACACGTAAACTCTGTGGTAATAATTTTCCGTTGTCTGTACCTCGGTTTATTATATAGAGTGTGTATTTTGCTAACATTTAAAATAAACACGTGTTGTAACACGAATAAGTGCCTTATTAAAACATTTCATGTAATAACACTGGATCGTTACTTTGTTTCGTGTTATTTCTGACCTTTTTGACGTATTATCTGTGACATGATACAAAGCGACCAGTAGACACCGAAATTTCATTTACCGATATTTCATGAACATGTAAACGTGGGCGTACGGCATCAACCCCGTGTAGAGGCCGGAACAGGCGTTTGAGTGCCCAGTGCTCCGGAGATTTTAAGCGTCAGAGCGTGAAAATTTCTGGAAATTATATGTGATCAAATGAATAACTATAGACTTCCCCCCCCCCTTGGCACTACAGCCCCAGTGGACCTAGGCCTACCTCCATGAACTCTGTTCACTTCGGTTTTTCTAGATCTTACACATACGGTAGGACTCCTTGGGCGAGTGATCAGCTCGTCGCAAGGCCTCTACCTGTAGACAAACACAGAAAAACGCACACAAACATCCATGCCCTGAGTGGGATTCGAACCCACGATCCCGGCTTCCGAGCGAGCGAACACAGTGCATAACTTAGACCGCTCGGCTACCGTGACCGGCCAAGTATAGATATAAACTCCTTAAATATATCGTCATATGTAGACCCATTGCCAGTATAGGCGACAGTGCAACAGCCGTTGCTAGAAAACGGACAACGAGAGAACACCCCAAAATGGAAGATACTTTTTCTGTGCGGTCCGTGCTGGGGCTATTTAACGAAAACTAGTGATTCAATTGTTGGTCCCATGGCACTCAGAACTAAGAATCGCTATGCTGGCGAGGACCAGCAGCAGTTTAGCAATCAATCAGTTATTTGCTGAGTCAGCTGAGAGTTTCAGTTTTAAAAAATGAGAAGCTGTTAGCTGAGGCAGAGGATAGAGAAGGATCACTTACCCTCCTGGGATTCGAACCCTTATTCCTCAGTCCAACTATAGTCTAAACTCTGATCAGAAATAAAGTAAAAAATCTCGAGGAAGAAAATATGATAACCAAGAAGTTCTGGGAAGAACTAATCGCCTGTTTTCCTTTGATACGACACGGACCGCATAGGAAACACACAGACAGCAAAATGATCTCATAGGCCTGCTAACACAGATGACTGGGGATACGCACGTAGACAGCAAGGTGGTCGCATAAGCCTCATAACACTAAAAATTAGGGGAATACACAGACGGAGAGACAAAGAGCAAGTTCAACTCAGAAGCAGGCTAGGAATGCTGAAAAGGGGGAGGGGGACAGTCGAGAGAATAAAGAGACAGAGAGACGGCAACTGCTACCTTGGTCTTGGAGCCGCCAATCGAGCCGGGGCGGATCGAGCCTGTCTCGTAGAATCGGGTCAGGATCTTGGAGACGCAGCCGTGGGAGACGAGGAGCTGCCGGGAGATGTCGCAGGGGCGCACCCCCATCAGCGCCAGCTCCACGATGCGACGCCGCACGCAGTCTGGCAAGGGGCGTCCGTTCACGAAAACCCCGCCCAGCTGGTTGACACCGGCCTGACCTGCGGACGGACATATCACATGGTGAGAAGGCTTCAAGCTCTTTGAGGGGACCGGCTCAGGGTCGGGTCGAAAGAGAGCCTTTGCTCTAGCACTGGCGGCCTTTTTATTTTGATTTATAATAATAAGAAAAATAATTTTGTGCAGCTAACCACGATACGTAGGAGGAATCACCCAGCACTACACACATACAGCAACACACCGGCGCCCAAACCAGAGCATACTTGGGATTTGTATCAGCTGACGGAAGCGCAGCAGTTTTCGAAACATGTACTGCAACAGTGATGTGGAAAATACGTGTAATTTTAAAATTACAGAAAGCGAAATTTAAAATTTTAAAATTTTAACACAAATTTGCATGTGAGACGGCGAATAAGAAGTTAAATTTAAATAACAATAATGGTTTAATCGTTTATTTCTCCGCGTTCATTACAGCTCTAGTTTCTGTAAAAGTTCTTAAAACTCAACATATTGCGTAAGAGGAATTATTACATTATTCAAGTTTCACTTGGTTCTGAGTTGAACTAAAATCTTTTTTCGGCTAGCTCCCCTCTTTCGGAAACTGCCAGGCTTCGAGTTCTGATTCTGGTCTCAAAGTGAAACTCTGTTTATTTTGCTTGTAGGAACGCTGACATACCCGTCTTGAAATAATTTTCTTTATTTTCATCACATTTTACAATAGAAGTGGCAATTGTTTGGGGGCACGCGGTAGCGTAGTTGGTTGAGGGGCTATGCTATGAGGTCATTGCATTTTTTTCAGTTGACCTAATCCTTGCAGCCGCACTAGGCCCTGGGGTTTACTCAGCCTCTAACAGAAATGAGTACCAGGAATTAATTAAATAATTTTCCTGGGGAGTAAAGCGCGGCCGGCGCGTAAGGCTGACAACCTTACCGCCATCTCTGAGCCGATTGTCTAGATAATGTGGGAACCTCAACGTCTCACAACCCTATGGGCCTTCACGGCCTGGTACAGGGATAGCTTTACTTTTTTTTAGTGACAATTGTTTATATGTTACACTACTAATTGTATTCCATGTAAATTGACATATATTCTAGTCTCGTCATCATCATCATCATCATCATCATTGAAATTATATAAATATCCTTGTTTTTGTATTTGCTTTGGATCTATTAAGTTACATTCTATTCGTGATTAATTTGTAACTGGGCATTGGACTCTTTATATCGACACGTAACCAAACGAAGAATGTAATTTAATTATCAGACCATATAATTATTCTAGATGTAATGATGATGATTCAATTAATTTCAGTACTAGACAACAACAAGCAAGCAGTGGCAGAGAATCAGAGTACTGTTTGTTACAAGACAGGACAGAAACGGGCGACACGTAAGCACCGTTGCACATCAACGGACGAGCCACTGGAAGAGCTAACAGTGTTGGCGAAATGAAATGTCCTCACGCACTGCATCAGTAACAACAACAAAATCAGAAAATAATAATAATGATAATAAAAATTGTATAGCCCAGTGAGAATGCCCACTAGGCTACCATCTGGACGATCGGGGAATCCCAGTTTGGTTCCTGGAACCCATCGGGCTTCCGGTCGAATCGGTTCTGTGAGTTCTTCACCGGATGCAGACGGGCCGGGCAGTGAAGCTGACCATTCTTCATGGTCTTTTGCCGAGATTAAGAATTCATACAGCTATAGGCTACCTCCACGCCTCATTATATCTCCATGGTGTGATACTTAATTATTGAAGCACAACTATAACTTCATTCATTCATCAATGACTCTACAGCCCTTTGTTGGGCCCTGGCCGCTTTTCTCGGTTCTATAATCCTATAGACAGTAGATAGGACTCCTTGGACGGGGGATCAGCCCGTCGCAGAGCCCCTCCCTATACAAACACACAATAAACGCACACAGACATCCATGCCTCGAATAGGATTCGAATCCATGAACCCAATGTTCGAGCGGGCGAAGACCGCGCAGCCACTGTGGTCGCACACGGACAAGTTAGCTTTGTCAGGATAGCGGCGGAGGAGGAGGATAGCGCCGAATGTTATGACGGCAGGTAAATGATTAATTGGAAAGTTTCGGAAGAAAGTAGTTGTGATCTGAAGAGGTACCCTTTCGCATTTGCCTGTAGGGATTGATGGAAATCATGAAAAATATAATCAGAGTAGCCTGTGTGCCAGCCGAGATTCGAACCAAACAATTTCCGTATACGAGTCAAAGGCATTACCGGTACTACAACCTGTTCTATATGAGAAGCAAGTCACTTTACCCTCGAACGAACAGAAACGTACCGCGCAGCAAACAGAAGTGGAACATTTTTTTTATTGAAGTTTCTGTACCATATGACAGAAATGTGGAGAATAAATAAGGTAGGAAAATACAGGCATACAGAAGTCTGTTGATCTACAGCGCATGTGCGGTGGGGGAAATGGAAGTGATAGGAATAATTGCTGGGGTAGGGCGTCGGCCTGTTATGTCTTTCCGTTTCTCTGTCGGTTCGTGCTCCGAAGCGTTCAACATAAATCTCCCGCCCGTTCTCGTTGGCTTTTTGTGCTTCTCTTGTGCATTAGATCAAGTTTTTGTTGAGATATTATTTACACGTAATTTATAAATCGATATATTAATATTAGAATAAGACCCTCCCTGAAGCTGATAACTTAATTTCTGTAAGTCGTTATAGAGGCTTTGTACCAACTTCATCAAAATATCTTAAAGAAAATTCCCCGTCTGTAGGCGCTTCACGTCCCGCACATAAACCGTATTCAAAATGACATTATAATTGAAGTGGTGATGCCCCAGGGCAAGGTGCGTCACAAAAAAATCCGGACCACTTGGCTAAAAAAAAAACGAAATTTCTAGCGTCATAAAATTTATCTGGCGGTATAAGTGATCGTATTGATCATGTTATATTCATAGTCAGATGGCCGCATAATCGGTTTAATATATACAGGGTGTTTAAAATTTGTTTCCACGGCTATCTTCAGAAATAATTCTACTAAAGCAAATATAAAAGAGCGTCTAACAGCATGACAATACGTGTCACCTATACTCACTATATTTCTCTTTAAAATGAAGTAGTTTACATACCAACAGTTTACCAACAGTTTTAACATTGGGAACTGTGAGTTTTCTCCCAGACAGTGTAGTTATGGATAAGGATAAGAAAGGAGACAGGATTTCCTCTACATAATTAAGCAAAATACCATGAAGACGTGGAGTCAAATGCAGGCATATCTCGATGTACAGCTATGCTTATTCTCGACATTATGTGGAGGTTAGTGCTGAGCTTCACGCCCCGGCTGCTTTACCCTGGGGAAAGAGGAATTGTTACTGATGGGTCTGGTTAATGGAGACAGCGTCTGTTATATCCCTTGGTCTGTATATAAAATGTTTGTAAAGGCGAGATGCAAATCTGAAGTTACTCAGTTTCGGGTTACCGTAGAAACGTATTGTTCAGCGTTAATTTGTGGTGTACATGTTTGCCTTATCCCGCTAGTCGTCTCGAGAGTGGACGCTACTTCTAAATAAGCAGGCTTCAGAATCTACTGGGAAATGCATACACGCAAGACGCCGGTACAAAATGGCAGTCTACATTCATTTTAATGTTTCAGTGAAAAAACTGNACCCCAACTTCACTTCGTCTCATTTATCACTTTCCTAACCCTTTGCCTAAAATTGCTTGGTTTACAGGACAGAGTACCTAAAGCATCTGCAGGTAGTTGGTTCCAGAGCTGTATGGTCCTATTTACAAAGGAGTATTTCCCGATATCTGTCCGTTGCTTTCTACTCCTAATTTTCTTGCCATGATCACCCCTGCTCAGATAGCATGGTGTTTCNCTATGCTTATTCTCGACATTATGTGGAGGTTAGTGCTGAGCTTCACGCCCCGGCTGCTTTACCCTGGGGAAAGAGGAATTGTTACTGATGGGTCTGGTTAATGGAGACAGCGTCTGTTATATCCCTTGGTCTGTATATAAAATGTTTGTAAAGGCGAGATGCAAATCTGAAGTTACTCAGTTTCGGGTTACCGTAGAAACGTATTGTTCAGCGTTAATTTGTGGTGTACATGTTTGCCTTATCCCGCTAGTCGTCTCGAGAGTGGACGCTACTTCTAAATAAGCAGGCTTCAGAATCTACTGGGAAATGCATACACGCAAGACGCCGGTACAAAATGGCAGTCTACATTCATTTTAATGTTTCAGTGAAAAAACTGTTTATATTTTCATGGCGGTGACTATGAAGAATGCCGTCTTCTGGAATGTGGCGCCCTGTAGATCTACTCAGCGCCACATTCTTCGCTGGTAGGGTCGATATTATTATTGTGTGAGCACAAAACTGCTTAATTAATGCAGTGAGTAGAATCAATTATGGATGCCACATTTCGTGACATTTCCTTAATTGCTTATACAGTGCCCGTAAGGTTTTTTTTTTGTATCAATGATTTTATGACATGCATATGCATGAACCACAACGCCCATTTCTACAGTAAAACTCTAAACATTACAATTTATTCTAAATAATTTTATTCTGAGATTTATTTTCGTTTCTTATAATAACGAATGGCTTTCTCTTGAGCCTGGTACTCTGTAACAAACAGGATTTCTATACTAAAAGGTAAAAGGTTAAGCTATCCCTGTTACAGGCCTTGGAGGTCCGTAGGGCTGTAAGAAGTCGAGACTCCCACATGTTTCTAGATAGACGGCTCCCAGACGTCGGTGAGGTTGTCAGCCTTACGGTTAAAAGGGATGAATGAACAGATGAAATCTGGAGGAGTTGAGAGAAGCCACGGTAAACCTGAATCAGGATAGCTGGCCTGCCCTGGCCTGCCTCATGACGAAACCCACACGACAGCAACATGAATATTATTGATATACAAAAATTTCTCGGAAGAGAGAGTTGTTCATTTCCGTGCGTAAGAATCGTTTATGATGTGAACTAGTTTACGTTTTATGTGTGTATGTTAACGTTACACGCGTGTGTAAATATGGAATATTAATTCTTTACAGAGCAAATAATAG